AAAAAGCTGATTTATATGTATGTGTGTGTGTGTGCAAAGAATATTTTTTCCTGGCTATCCAACTTTCCTGTTCCACTTGGAATAAAGCATACTGTGATTGACATTGAGCTTAACAGATCAATACGCACATTTCAAGTATGTCAATGAATAAAATTATTAGAAACTGTATTTTTCCACCGGTTTTAAGCAATTTCTGTTCATAGTTTTGATGCGGTGAATGTGAGCTGATCGTCTTCACGCGATCCCAGTGGAACGTTTCAAGNCAAGTGTGTTTTCGTTTACACGTCGGTATATGCCCAGACTTTGACACAATCATCAGGTCCACCAGAAATGGGAGTAGTAGTTTCTGAGAGAAGTTACTTTGTGTAAAACATAATGTCTATACTAAAATGTGCACACTTTGTAGATAATCACCAGCTCATTAGTTCCGGTCAGATATGAATTGCACACAAATAAAATTATTTTGAGTTTTCATTCGAAACTGTCATCCAATACGCCAAAGCATCGATATATCTACAGCATTTTTGTGAGATACACATCGATTTTTTGCCTGTCCTCCTTTTTTGTCTTCTCTGAGGTTTATCGCATTTGATTGCTTCTTGGGAACTGTTGTGTCCATCCCGGGTTACTCAAGTGAATAGTTAATCATAACCAATAACGATGCAACCTGGGCTGTATATTTTAGCTTCCCGTTTCCCCGTAACAAATCGCAGCTGTTCTCCCTGGAGGTACGTTGTATCTCAATGTTTGTCCGTGCCACAAATGCGCACTTCACTTTTGGAATTTTCATTTTCACTTCTTACTGTACTGATTCCATCAAAAGGTTTTATGCATCATGAAAAAATTGGCTATTTGACTCTATTTATTTTCTAAATCGAAGCTTTCTGCTTTAGAGTAAACCTCATTATCTTTTCACGTTCCGATGGTACAGTGTTAATTTAGTGATTTATTGGACTGTTGTCTAGCATTAGCAGACCAAATTAAATCTACACGTCAAACTACTGCCCCGTAATGAATCAGCAAGCACTCGCCCCTTCAGTTCTCCGACTCGCGGAAAGTTATTCAATTAAAATGGCTCATACTAGAACATTATTCATCTAGTTTTAACAAAGGCCTCAGTAAGATTGCAAATTTTCCACGTCATGCCACGTTGGATATGAAAAACTGGTTCATTTATCCATGACAACCGAATTGTGAAACGCCCTTTTCATCCTACGTTATTTTTGTTCATATTCAATAAGGCCAAGTCATTACGGTGGTTGCATTCACAAAGTACAATGGCCGTGGTTACTAAGTAAGGATTGTTTACGAACTTGGAAATAATCGTTTACCAGAAATGGGTACCAACAAGCAGCTTTTTCGTCACAGTGGCACAAAAGTGACACCAGTCGAGTGCATAACCGTGTTTCATCATACAGTTTCTCTTCTACTCTCTTATGAGTTATTGAATAGTACTATATCACACAGGGTGACTTGTGAAGGGCGTTCTCGGGCATGCTGAGTCTTTGATCACTAAGTGGAATTGCCAACACTTGATGCAGTTAGTCCACCTCAGCATATTGTGGACCGGAATCAATGCCCGACAAACATTCAAAAATCTTCAGTGTTGCGAAGAGCTCCCTTTCCCACTCAGATTAATTAGTGGGATAATTTACCGTACTCCGTTGTTCGACTTGCTATGGGAGTTCTGTGTGAAAGGGATTGGTGAAATCATAGTATTCTAGACTATATCATTATTAGGTATATGGGTGAACTCGCGTACAGCGAGGATTTTTATTGAGTACCAACAACGGTGAAACGTGATTTGCCCAGGGCTCGTCGCTGTAAATAATTCTTAGCTGTCAAGTACTCTCATAGTTCACTTAGCACAGAATATATCGTGAGCTGAGTAGGTCTTTCGCAGCTAGCAGCCATCTTCGTTTTGAATGCCTTATTTCGCCATTCCTGTTCAATTTCTTCATACACGAAACACTGGAGAACGCACCATGTCCATAAAATGTTTGTTTAAATGAGCAGTTTGATAAAAGCTATATGATTTGAAGTACGCTGACATCATCATTTTTCTGTTCAATCGTACGGAGTATGCCCAAAGCGTAATTGACAGACAAGCAAGTTCCGTTGCGCTATTTGCTCTGCGCGTTGCACCTTCAAAGTGCAAAGTGATCCTGCAAGAGAGATTGTCGCCGATGTCCGCTGTAAAAATAGACGGTCCGGAATTAGGTGAAGTTGACTACATTTCAGTCTTGGGTAGCACATGAAAGCAGATATCCGCTAGCAGTTGCAATGCTCGAGCGGCTCACGTGGGACAGAAACACCTGAGTTGACGACGAAACGTTTTGGTGAAGTTTGTAAGTCGCCTATACTTTACTACTGTAGGATCAGTTGTGACTTACGGTTATGAGACCTTTAATTTGAAGGTAGACAACATTTATCGCCCAGTGGTTTCCGGAAATCGATACCTACGTAGTCTGGCTCCGGAAGGGATGGTGTGAGCCTGTAAGTTGATCGCCGAATATTTATGAATGCCTCGAACACGACCTTGCTATCCAATAGGAATCACCTCACTAGGCTCCTTTGGCTTGGACATATTTTGTGTATGTCCAACGTTCGCTTACCGGATCACGCCTTATTTGCATTGGCTTTTGTAGACTGGAGGAAGTCACGTGGGGGCCAGCGGATGACGTGGAGACGAGGTATGAAGAAAGGCAAAGGGCGATTGAGTAGATAAGGTGTATGTAGTCTCCTGGTTTGTGGTCCAAAACACTCCGAAACCGGATGGTTGGAGACAATGAATATCATGGCCGCAAGCCGAGAGCAGTAGCGATTTTCCTGTAAATTGTTATCCAACCAGAATTCTTGGTGGACTTTTTGGGCTGTGCTCCCTATGTGTTGACCAGATAAGTTCGCTTTCTTTCACCGGCCTTATTAGTAGGGTCATTCCCTATCCTCTCTAAACATTGTCACAATGATAATGTTTTTTTACTTTGTTGTTCTATTTTTTGAACATACAAATGTAGAGTCAACTATCAGGAAGGGGGCTGTGGCCATACAAAGGCTGCCTGGGAAAAATACAGGTAAGACGGGCGGCGGTGCTGGTGCGGTTTGGCCCCCGGGACAGCCAGGTCACTGGTTGGTGACCTAACCACTTGGCCACCACCGCCCACCAACAGCGTTTACTTTGCGAGTTTGGTAACCATGAGTGAATTTCGCTTCACTATTTTAAGCCGTACAATGATGATGATGCTGATGATGATGGTGGTGATGATGATGAAGTGTTTGAAGATCATTTAGACGTTCAAGTAATAAAAATTGTTTCAATTTGCTCAATCTTTTATCAATATTGTCAGACTAATGCTAAATCAGGTCTCAAATGTGTTATACCATTCCGAGGGACATACCGTGTGCATATATCTTTCTGGACTGGGAATGTTTATTGCATCATCAGTTGCTTTGCGAATAGTTCGCATATTTGAACGAAAGTTTTTACCGGCAACAAATTCACTACTAATGAGTAGGAGGAAGTTATTCACCAAGATTCCGGAGATATTCTGTAATGTTTTGTCAAGCTTCGCTGGTCAAGGTGAATCAGGTTTTCGATCTCATTGTGAAAGCAATTTCTAGTAATGTATGAAGCCATATGATTTTAGTTCCTAAGACAACTGTATTCCTATATATACGGTGTTATTTTGACACTGATACGAATAATTCAAAAGGAGCTTTTTCACCACTTTGTTGTTTTCTTTGAAATATGCTCTGTAAGGGCATACAAATTCCATAAATCCTTTGGACCAGTATATTAACTATTGGCCTGCCACCAAATAGTCAATATATGGCACTTGTACTAGGCTTTTCTGAACTGTGTATCCGTTGTTCAGCTGTGGACGTCATTCAGAAGGTTGTATATTGCATATATTTGTACACTACACAAACCAAAAAGGAATTAAAACTTTCGTTTCTAATTTTATGTACAGCGCAGAACACCTAAACAGGTTAGGTGGTCTTGCCATGGTCACCTTAGGAGTCTTTTTCGACGTGAGTTACGAAGGTCAGCATGCCCTGGTAGATAGGGATTAGTGCTATACGTGGTATTCCTGAACTCCTCATCATGGATTTCGGCTCAGTTCATATCCTACTCATGAGCACGCAATGTTGTAACAGATGCAATGCACAGACCTTATATTTCCATTTGCATAACGGCGTGCGTTTCGTATTGAAGTGTATGCATTTCTGTTGGTTAATATGGAAAAAGTAGTTCCAATGCGCGACACAGCTATCTTCAAAACTTTCTCTTATACAAACGCTCAATAATTGCTGCATGTTCAATAAATGTGCCTTCCTTCCAAGTACGACACTGCCTGAATGAATTAGGAACGTTACTTATTTCCTTCTAAGCAAGAGTTGCTTGCAGATGAAAAAGCATATGCCTTGAGATATTCANNCATTGTGACGCATACGAGGAAATCGACCTGCAACTCAATGAATGAAGTGGACAAAAATATGTGGCTGTAGAAATGACAGAGGTCAAATAAAAGCGTTGTTTGGAATCCATCGATATATTTTGACCGGTGTGTGTACACTGGTTCTGAATTAGACATTTCGTAGAAATGTTCAGCCTACTTGGTTTAACTGGGGTATGTTCACTGTGCTTCCGGTAGTGCATCAAGGTCTATTTTGAAACACTGAATCTTTATGTCTCTTCATAATTCAAAGCTTACGCAATGATCAATTTCCTACGCAAGACTGTCCACATTAATTCATATAGAAATTTATTAGTTTACCAATAAAAAAACAAAAGCGCTTTGCTATTATTCACAGAAGAAACAAACCAATGATTGAACATTTTGCAAACCGATTTAAATATATGGAACAAATAAGGGGAAGCAGTTGGTATTGCAAATTCTGATGCTGTGTTTTTGTTTGAATTAGGCGGATCAGTCAAGTATGAATCGGACCAGAACATGTTTGTCAAACAAACGAACTCTCTGTGAGCTGTCCACTAATCAAATTCTCCGATACGATCCGATGCGCTGTCCACAGGACGGGCATTTGTGCACCACATCTTTGCACGTATTCACACAGAATGGAATGAGACAGCAGCCGAAGAAACATCTGAAATATGATTTCAGGTTTGCATATGAAACGGTGCAAGTTTTGGTCACATAATGGGGGAAGCAACGTGAACATAGAAGAAAACAAATACAATGTGAAATACTACCAAACCAACACAAAATGCCGTGTTTTAATCATAATCCCGTTTGATGCATAGCCTTAAAACAGACCTTAAAACTGTTTAGTGCCCACAAATCAGCATCAAAATATAGTTGCTGCATACAAATGAAATATTGATCTTAGGTTCGAATAATCTGGAGTGTGCAGCTCAATTCATTTCCGAACAACAACTGTGGGGTTCTGTGCGCCGGTTTAGGTTGTTGTCTTAAGACTTCCAATATGGATAAACCAGTGAAGAAGCGATTGTATTGTTCAATTCTGCGTCAGAGTAAAAAGAAGAAATTCATAATGACTAAGGTTTCAATTAAATTGATAAGATTAGCTCACGACACAGTTTGTGTCACTCATCCATGTCATGCAGTGTCTGTGCACATCCGTTACGCTGCGCCCGACATTTCCCACGAGGAATAATCAACGTGTAATGCATGCATGTTCTAATTAACTAAATTTTGCGTCATGTTGATCAACGGTTTGTGAAAAATCCATAGAAATGATAATCACGAGAATAAGCTATAAAATAATACCCAATCAACCGTTCGGCCTAATTCTTTAAGGAGTAATCCATAGCCATTGCTCAAGGACATTCTATCTCTTAGGTGGCTTGCTCATTATGAGGGATTTGTTTCGCGTTGCACACTGGTCACAAAGAGTTTACCGCCTTTTATGCCAAAAATCCGGTAATTATCTTACCGGTTGTCGTCCTATCCATTATCCTTAGTACGAAAGAGTATGTGGCACCGTACTCCGAACAGCACTATCTCCATAGTTCTCAGTTTTCCGCTGAATCTATCCTATCACAAACGGATGTTAATTTGTGTATGGAATATTCTGAAAGCAAGTTCTCCGCTTATGCTCTATCTCTTGCTACTACCTTCCATTATTATGCACCTGGCTGACTTCATGTGTCAGAGTTTTCGAGCTGGGAAATTATGTGTTTAACCTCTCTAAGTCCAGTACCTTACGCACCGTGGACATTTTTCAGCGTAATTTGACAGAGGTGAACAATCTTTTTATGGTCTGTCGTGTTGGATATCTACACATCTGTGATTCTGCGAAATATTCAAGCAGGTTGGAGCCAATTCAAGTCAACCAGTTGTAGCATAGAAAACAACAACAGGTTCGTAGCCAACACCAAAGCACTCGTTTCGGTTCCCGGAAGATCACCAGTGTGCAGATCACAGATTCTTGATACGTTTATTTTCTTGTTCCATGCCACCGAATTTCGTTAGACACGGAAACTATAAGACTTTACACTGTTTTTACCTAAGGTTGTGCTCACAGTTTCAGACTATCTTCCAAACCGCCGAATTATTAGTGTGATTTGAAAGCGATCTCATCGTCCATCATGTAATTTCTCACTTGTTGTCGATAAATCCAAGGAAAGTGTGATCAACGCGAATTAGACCAGTTCGAATTGAAAACTGATTGCCTTTGTAATGAGATGACAGCTACGTTTACGTGTGACAGAACACATTGGCCATCACTAATTGTTTGAACATTGAGGTGCGTTCAAAAATATGCTTTTGTTCAGAAGTAATAGGAGGTTGATGAATAAAGCCATATCGATCATTTATTGAATCGTATTCTATCAGCGCGAGGTAAACATTCATCTCCGGATTCCAAATACATGTGATATAGCTCAGTAGGCACCACACAGATTTTCAGACCAGAAAATTTTCACCTTTTTTATCACAGTGCAAATGCATGCAAATCAGTCAACTGTCCATTTTTTAGACCACATGACTTACCCTAGTACGGCTATGCCGGCACAGCACAAATAGGTCAATATACCGTTCTCATATTCCGTTCGAGTGGTGACCTGCTTTTGGCAGTACGGACATGTTGTCATGACCGGTTCCCATTGCATTGGTTGGACTACAATTGTTTGCACGTGTGGTTGAGCGGCCATTTCTGCAAGAATTGGCGTTTGCCGAAGAGAGGGTGATTGAACAAACAACGGACAGTGATAACACGACACTTGAGCGATCCACAAAACCAAAAGGTGTTAACTATCCTCGCTCACAATCACCCATTCTGTGTGTCCCCGGACAACCTGAGATAGATACCAGACAGCCTCAGAAAAATCAGTGGCATCATTGGATGTATAACGAGCAGAAAGTTTTGAAAAAGTAATATAGCAAGGAGGGCTGTGTTATTCGTGATACACAAATAATTCATGATCATTCTTCCTCCAGCTTCTAGCGTTGCCGTTGGAACTGCAGCACCTCTGTATGCTCACAAACTGACTGACTGAAATAGACCAATGCTAGGGCAATGCAAGCAGTTTCCGATGAATAAAGCACACGTTAATCACTCGTGATTAGACCTTTCAGCCTGAAAACGGTGTGAAAAGCTTGCTTTCTGTCTTCATCCATTTTACCCAATCAAGTGATGAGTGAATATACAAAGGAATAACCCAACACCCCCTCGACAAAAAACACATTTATTTCGTAAACTTAACGCCTTAGTGTGATCCCCATCACGTGGTAAATATTTCTGCCAATGATTTGTGAGCTGTCTTCTCACTGTGCACCAAGGTTGTGGGATTT